TCCTGGGAGCCTATCCCCCTCATAGGAGCACAGGATTCCTTGCTGCTCACAGAGGAGCATCAGGACACTGTCAGACTCGGCCTCCAGCTCCAGTTCGCCCTGGTTATTTCAGAGCCCGCTTTCTTGGCTTGACCTTGTGTTGTGCATTTCTTGCCACAGGTTATTGAGAATTGTGTTGCTGCGGCTGGATTCAGCGTGGGAGAGTTTGCAGCCCTTGTGTTTGCCGGTGCCTTAGAATTTGAAGAAGGTACTGAGGACATTTGGGGGATTCTGCCGCGGGGATGTGGCCAACATGGGCCTTTGGGTCACGGTTTGAAGTGGCGCCCGATTACATGGCAGCTCTGCTTTGGGAGTAAGGGGTAGAGTTGGGAGGTAGTGAACCGCATTGGGTGGAGCGCCGGACCCAGAAGAGCTGGTTTCAGGTCCTGGTTCTGACTCGTGCTGTGACTTGGAGCGCATGCATCCCTTTTCTTTGCTCAGCTTCAGCTTCTTCCTCTATAAAGTGGCAGCTGTAGTGAGAGGCAGTGGAGCGTAGGACATCGAGGGCCGACCTTGGAGCCAGGAAGGTCTGGGCTCTAATGTGCCCCGATACCCGCTGGTGTGGCACCCTGGCTGGGCCTATGACCTTACCTGGTGGGCCCCTGGCTAAGCCAGCTAACGCCCCTCCCAGACTGATGAAGTCATAGGTCTGAACCAAAAAGAAACCAGTCTATATACAAAGCTCTGAGGAGGTCCTTTGTTCTCCTCCCTTCTGCCAGATGCTCCCATCCTGTCTCGGTGTTGAGGTTTAGGGGTGCTGGGACCCCGAAATAGCAACGCAGGTTCTGCCCAAATGAATTCAACCCGAGCCTTCCTTCGGCCAAAGGCAAGGTTTATCAGCACACTGATTGGGGGAGCGAGGCTCCTGGTGAGGCAGAATCTGAGCACCTTAATGGAGGCCCAGATGGCTCTTCTGTACAGAAAGACTGTGGGAGGGGTGTGGGAGCGGCCAGGTAGTGACTGGCGGGTAGAGTGCCAGAGACCTGGACCACTGGCCCAGAGAGAGTGGAGTCTAAATAGGGTCAAGGTGGGGAAGTGGCCACGGGCAGTAGGGAGGTGACAGAGAACTGGGAGACTGGACCACGCGGGAAAGCCCCGTCCCCACCGTCAGGAGGTGCATGATTTCAGTGGGCCACAGTGTTCCTGTGCGCGTGGTCCAGCTCCGTCCCGTCCTTCCCACTGTCTGTATGAGCTCCCAGAGCTCCCTCATGGTTCTTCCAGGGCGTCCCAGCTCGCCCCTCCTAGGGACGTTGTCTTCCCTCTCGTCCTGGTGTCAGTCGTCCGTGTGTCTTCCCTGGTTATGGGGGTCCCCAGCACTGTCCCGGCCCTCTTCCCTTCTTTCCCTGCTCTGTCTCTCTGGTAACTGGGTCAGCTCCCATGCTCCCGTTATTCTTGAGATCCCAGATCCAGAAACCTCGCCCCATCTCTCCCCTGAGCTCCCTTCCCAAGTGATCAGCTGCCCGGTGGGCGCTAGATGCCCCAGAGACGGCTCAGACTCATCTTGTTCACAACAGAAGTCACGTCTTCAGAAAAGAATTAAAGAAGAATTCTCCCCCCTTCTTGGCACTGCACCCTAAGGACCATGGGACCTTTTGGCTGAGACCTCCCCCTCTAGAATGGGAGCTTCCCGAGGAGAGGGCTGGCCTTACTTTCTGTGCTATCCCCACACTTAGCAGAGGGTGTGGCACATGTGTGCTTTTCCTTCCCCACTCCTTCCTCTTCGGACCTTTCTCTTTACTATCCAGGACTCCACCCGATTCACCTGCCCGGTGTCACCCCACCGGCTCCGCCCGCTGTCCTCAGTCGCCAGATCTCGTAGCTTCTCTCTCACTTCCACCAGCCCCTACATGGCTCAGGGCACGACCTCCTCGCGGCTCACCTGGACCACTGCAGTCAAGGCTGGTCCTCCCTCTTCGACAGCCTCTCCCCACGCCAGCCCCTCCTCCACAGGGCCACCAAAATGATTTTCCAGTGACTCCCTATTAACTCCAGGATCAAATCTAAGATCCTTTATCTGATGTGGAAATCTCCTCACAACCTGGGCCCTTCCTACCTTTCCAGCCATCTTCCACAGTCCATGGACTCCATGATCCAGCTGTCCCAGACTGCCTGCTGTTCCAAATATGTCACTCAGCTCCGGTGTCTAGGCCTTTGCCCCAGCTGTCCCTCATTCCTGGCATGCTTTCCCTCCTCACCTCCACCTCTTCATTAAGCTTCAGCTTAAGCATCTTCTGCATGAGGCCCTTCCTGATGCTGGAAGTGGAGCCCCCAGGCTGTAGGGCCTTCCCACCCCTAACTACTGGCAGTCATTGGGGATGTATTCTATCTGCACATGTGTATGTGCCTGTGTGCCTGTTGTCTTTCCCAATGGAATGTAAGCTCTTTGGGGGCAGGGACTGTTTCTCTGAATCCTCAGGCTAATCCAGCTGCTTGACCCCCTCCCTTCCTGTGTCAGTCCAGCAGCCGTCCTCTCTTCTTTGCTGTGTGTGTGTGTCACTCTGTCTCTCCATCTGTCTGCCTGTCTCTCTCTGTCTCTCTCTCCCTCTCTGTCTCTGTCTCTCTGTCTGTCTCTATCTCTACCTCTCTCTGTCTCTGTCTCTCTTTCCTTCTCTGTCTCTCTCTGTCTCTCAATCTCTCTCTGTCTCTCTTTCCTTCTCTCTCTCTCTCTCTCTGTCTCTCTCTCTCTCTCTCTCTCTCTCTCTCTCCCTCTCTCCCTCCCTCCTTCTCTGTCTCTGTCTCTCTCTGTCTCTCTTCCTCCCCGGGTCCCTTCTCCCCTCCGCCATCTCACCTCCCTCCAGAGGTGCTGAGATCATTCCACCAATTGTCAGTGAAGGGAAGAACTGCTGTGCTGATGCCCGAGGGGTCTGCCAGACTCTCGCCTCCCCACCGTCATCCTGTGAGGGTTGACATTCTGTTTGTCCATGTGAAGAAACTGAGGCTTGGACAGAATGGGCCTTGCCTGAGGTCACCCAGCTAGTGTGTACTTGAGGCAGCTCTGGGCACCCAGCGTCCTGCCGTGCCTCAGTTCTGAACACCCCTCCCCATCTGCGGACCTGCCTGTGAGTGAGGGGAGGGTGCAGGACCAGCCATGTTGGGTGCTGGAGAGGCGGCGACCTCCAGAGGCCTCTTCTGGCTCAGGGAGGTGATGCCACAGGCCATCGTTTGGTAGGGAATGCAGGGCCTCTTCTGCAGAGCTGAAAACCCCCTTCCTGCCTTTGGGCTGGTCTCCCTGCCTTGGTTTCTCCCCCCTCCCGGCCAGCTTCCACGCAGCTGCTGAGGCAGGCTTCGTAAAGCCCCCAACCCAGTCTACTCCACTGGCACGCAGTTACCTTGCTGCCTTTCCGGCCACCATACGCTCACCTTCCTCCCACACAAGTCTCCAGTCCGGCTGCACCAGCTGGGCTGCCCTGGGGCCCTCTGCCGGCCCGGGCCCCTGACGTGCCCTTCCACTCCTGTTGTCTGCATCTCGTGCTGTCCAGCTGTTTACCTCGAGTCTCCGCGCTAGAATAGGAGCCCCTGGAGGGCAGGCACTGTTGTGGCTTGTTTCTGGACCCCAGAGCCAGGCGAGGTGTGAGAGCGTCACAAGCGCGTGCCGAACGACCGACTGACCGGTTCCTTTTGCTCCCTGGTAGGTCTGCTCGCGGTCAGAGCCCGTGCCGAGGCCATGCAGGAGGCATCTGCGGCCGTACCCAGCGGCATGCTCTCGGTCCTCGGGAGGCCTCAGAGCCAGTACAAGGCAGCGTGCCTGGATGCACGAGAGCACTGCCAGGCCCTGGGTGTCGAGCAGCCTGTCTGTGAGGTGGCCAACTATCTGTTTCCTGACTGCCGAGTGATTTCTGGGCACCTGCAGGTGAGTGGCCTCCCTCCGTGAAAGAGCAGAGGCCTCTGGGGGATTTAGACGGGGACACGTAGAATTGAACTTTCGTGCTCACGTCAAAGACACCGTTCGCTGCTTCCCACCCGAGCTGGGAATCTCCCAACAGCCCGGGAGAGAGGGATTGACCGGAGTGTCCCGAGGAGTCTGGGTGGGGACGCCCTCCGGCGGCATTCTGCGTTCCCCCTTAGAGCAGCTGTAAGAGTCCTCCCCAGGGGCCAACCCAGTGGCTGGGCCAGGCCCAGAAGCCCTTCCAGGATAGGAGGGCTCACGGTCAGCTGGCAGGACCTTGGAAAGCCTAGAGGTCAGTGCAGTTCAGAGAAGAACTTGGTGGAGGAAGCAGGTGGGAAACTGAGGCTGAGAGCAGTGGCTTGCTGTGACACTCCCAGGCCCCACAACCTGTGGGCGGCTGAGGCAGGGCTTGGCCAGTCTCCAGCTCCTCGGGCTCTTCCACATCATCTCTGGTAGCCCGGGGGCTGCCTGGTGGCCCAGTGACCTTTGGACAGAGCTGGTGGATGAGAGGCAACATGCCAGAGTGAAAGGGCCAGACGGCGTCGGGGTCCAGCTCTGCCCTTGACCTCAGTCCTTGGGCTGAACTGGACCATCGGTCTCCAAGCCTTTGAGCTTCAGTGCTGGGTTCTAACAAGCTTCAAATCCAACCAGGCCTCATAGAGAATGGTCCGGCGCTGTAGTCAAGTCACCATGCAGTGACACCCTCCCCGGCCTCACCCCCGAGCTTTCTCCATTCCGTTGTGAGGAGCGAGGAGGGAACCTTGGGCGTCCTCCCCCAGGAAGGCAGTGTCAGCGAGGGGGCAGTGCATGGGCCCTTGGCCTCCTCGTGTTCGAGGCAGGGTGACTCCTGCTGGGTCCCTCCACCCCACCCTGCCTCTAGCCAGTCGCATGGCCTCGGCCAAGCCGCTGCTGCCCTTTGGGCCTCATTTCCTCATTTCTAAAATGAGGGGCTTGGATTCGAAGAGGCACAGATCTGACCCTGACCGTCCCAGCTTGGCCACTGTCTGACCAAAGCTCCCAGAGAGGCTGTCCCGTGGGGAAGATGCCCCCTGCCCTCCCCCGTGATCCCAGCATCCAAAGAGCTTGGGCTCCTCTGGTCCTCACTCTGCAGGTGGGAGATCTGAGGTTCACAGAGATTGTAGAACTTGCTTGAGGCCACAGGTACCCCAGCCCCAGGATACGGGATTCCCTGCCTCCGTCACGTTGCTGTCCCTGATGAGCACATAGTATCCCTGGGTCCCAGGGGCCCTAGCAGGGACAGGTGAGAGCTGGGCTAACCTCTTATCACAGTCTTTTCAGGATCCACTCTACAGCCCCCCATCCCATCCTCCTTCCATGTAACAAGGATCTGTGGTGAAGCACAGTTGGGGGATTGAGGGGCCGAGCCTGACCCTCCCTTGTCTCCCTGTGTTACCTCCTCAACTGGCCCAGGGTCCCAGAGCTGAGGCAGGGAGGTGTCTCGGGCACCAGGTCCAGCCTCTGCCCCAACAGGGGAGGGTTGTCTCATCCTTTCAGTCTGAAAGCAGCTGCTTATATTCCTGGCTCTGCCATCTTTGCTCTGCATCACCTCGCACAGGTGCCCATGTTCCTCATTTTTATGAGCATAATCCTGCCCCATTGCATTCAGGTGCCACAGACAGCTCAGTCAGTCATCCCCTGACTGACGGGCACCCAGTTTGTCTCCTGTGCCCCGATACTCCCAAAAGGGGCTGTTGTGAATGTTTAGTTGCATTTACAGCTCCACCAACAGTGCATGAGTGCTGCCTGTCTCCAGTCAGGCTCTGGCCGTGACCCTTTGTGTTGGTCAGTTGCTCTCCTTTTCTTGTTAGAAGGCTAGCGTGGAAGTTATTTTTGAGGAGGAGCCTAGTTTTTCCCTTGGAGGCTCAGAGTGGCTCACACGCTGACTTCCTCTGAACCACGCTTCCTGTGGTCTGACCCAGCTGGTCCCGGTCTTCCTGCATGTGCACAGGCCATCCTCCATGCCCAGAGTCCACTTCCCCCACCTCTGGCCTGCTGAAATTCTCTTTCTTAGGTGCTCAGTTCAGATGTCACCTCCTTCTGGAAGCCTTCCCTGCTCCCTACAGTTTGAACTCATTTCTTCTTACATTTTCACAGAGCGCTCTGGGGCCATTCTCCCGTGGATCATATGTGTTTGTTTAGAGATGCATTATCCATCCACCCGTTTGAGTGTAAGCTTTTCCACAGCAGGCGCTGCTCTTTGGGAATAACCCGCGGGCTCTTCATATGTGTTCAGTGGGATGAATGTAGAAAAAAAAGGTAGTGGCTATGCCTGGGGGTGCAGACCCAGAGAAGTGATAGGCTCGTGTGGCAGGAGGGGGCTTCTCAGAGGCCAGCCTGCTTATTGACTGACTGATGGATGGAGGCCATTTAGGCCTGGGGTTTGCCCTGGTTCTCTTTTCACCATCCCACCTGAGGACATGGGGGTCTCGTCCCAGCCTTGCCGCTGAGTAGGGCATCATCTCCCTTTTCTGGGTCTCAGCTATGTCTGGGATCAGTCATCCCTGCCCTTCCCTACCAGGTCCTAAGGCCAGAATGACCCTAAGGTCCTCCTGAAAGGAGCCGCTGCTGCCCCCGGTTGTGGCCCCTCACACCTTCACCTGTTTGTTCCGTCCCAGGCCCTGCACTTCCTACAGAAGAATTCCTCCAGGTACCACTTCAGGAGGACCAGAATGCTACCGGTCAGCGGAGGGTTCCACACGCGCCTCATGGAGCCCGCTTTGCAGCCGCTGGCTCACGCCTTAAAGAAAATGGACATAAAGAAACCTTTGATCTCTGTCTATTCCAACGTGGATGGCACTAAGTACATGCATGCCAGACACATCCAGCAGTTGCTGGTGAAGCAGGTCGTGTCCCCCGTGAAGTGGGAGCAGACCATGCACGCCATCTACGAGCGGAGGAAGGGGACGGAGTTCCCGCAGACATTTGAAGTGGGCCCTGGGAAGCAGCTGGGGGCCATCCTAAAGAGCTGTAACCTCAAGGCTTGGAAGGCTTACAGCCATGTGGAAGTGATGGAGGAGGAGGAGGGGGAGGAGGGGGACCTGGACGTCTAGCTGAGGCTGCTGTAGCCCTGCTGGGATTGGTTGGAAGAACGGGTCCTGGGCCAGGCTGCCGGGGCCCCAAGCCATCTGTCAGAGGGGGCCTCCTGCCCTCCCTGGCTCGGCTTTGGGCTGGCCGGCCCCAACGAGAGGGAAAAATAGAAAGTGCGTTCTGAGCACCATCTGATCCTGCGTTCTGTGGTGGCTTTCTTGTTTCAAGTGTCCTTCGAGAAGGTTTCATGTCTGGAGGAGAGAGTTGACGGGCATTCTGAGCCCGGCGTTAGCGTGGGTCCCAGAGGGCTCTCTCCCAAGGCAGTGAGATGAGAGCCCATGCAGCCTCCCCAGAGACACCTGGCCCTGCCCTGAAATCCCTTTCACCCCAGCCTAGCCTCTGCTGGAGGCTTTGGGGGGGGGACCACCTCCCGAGGCAGCCCTTCCTTTGTGAGAGGAAACACCTCCTGACCTCCACCCTCCCAAAATCTGCCTCTGCAGAGTGAAATCGTGAGGACACAGAGGGTGGTGAAGAAACTGAAGCCATGACTGGGAAGGGCTCTTTCCATCACCCACGGTATGGGTGAGTGTAGACCTGGGATAAGAACGTGGGCCTGGAAGGGCAATCTCCCTACCCGTTTGTCCTGATGCTGGACTTGGTGTCAGCTTTGGGGCTGTTGGCCTGGGGCTTGGGCCGCTGGCCTGGGACTTGGACCATTGGCCTGGGGCTTAGGCCACCGGACTGGGGCTTGGACCGCTAGCCTGGGGCTTGGGCGATTTCACGGGGAGGCTTTAAAAGGTGCCTGCGATTACCCACGTCTTGGGAGCACAGTGGATTTGTCCGGTTTGTTGAGGGGAAGGTCTCCCCCTTTCCTCGGAGATGCTGTACTTCTTGATTGATTACACTTATACTCAGTGATGTAGAATTGAGATTGGCCGGCCTCCAGAGGAGCTAAAAATGCAGCCTTTTGGGTTTGGGGGGTTAGGAAATTCACTTCCTAAGGAGGCATTTGGCCCTCCCTGTTTGTTTTCTTGTCTGAATCATGACCTTAGGGGCAATGAGCATTCCCCGTCCAGAACTTCTGACCTTGACCTCCTCTAGAATCTAAGAAACTGCCCTCGGGACTTCCACTAGCAGAGCCTTCTGGGGCCAGCGTGTCACAGTAAGAGATGGGAGGAGCTGTGAGTGGAGCAGCCATTCCAGCAGCTCTGAGGAGGTGCTCCTCGATTTGTACCATCGGCATCCACACCCAGCTGCCAGGGTGACCCACTCGCGTCACTCCTCTCTCCACTGAGATCAAGCTTCTCCACCCTGTACGTGCGCACGCACACACGCACCACAAACATGCACACGTGTGCACGCATACACGCTCACACACACCCAACATGCATACATGCACATGAGTGCACACATACACACATACCCCACAAACATGCATGCATGCACACACGCACCACAAACACGCACACCTGTGCACACATACACGCTCGCATACACCACAAACATGCATACACGCACACGAGTGCACGCACGCACACCTTGACAGCACCCTCAGTGGCAGTCCATCCATCTGCAGGACCTGTGGGAGACCAGACCTGCTCTCCCACCAAGCTCTGTGACTTCCTGAGCCCTGCAGGTGAGCAGGGCCTTTGGTCACCGTCACTAGTGACGGGGCTCGCCTTCAGCTCTCCCGCAGCCGGCAGACTAGGCAGCTCCAGCCCTTCCATAAACCACCTTCCGGCAACCGCACCAGCACCCCCAGCGTCCCTGCTGTCGTTCACTGCCAGAGCTAGAAAAGAGGGGGCTCTCGGCCTCTTCTCCCTCAGGGAGCTCCTCAGCTCCTCGTTACCCCCATCTTACAGGTGACTCACCCATCCCTGAAGCAGGGCTCAAAAGGCTTTCTGACCCTAAACCTAGACCTGTATTCTGCCACTGACTTTTTTTTTTGTGAGGCAATGGGGTGAAGTGACTCACTCAGGGTCACACAGCTAAAAAGTGTCAAGTGTCTGGGGCCAAATTTGAACTCGGGTCTTCCTGAATCCAAGGCTGGTGCTCTGTCTACTGCACCATCTATCTGCCCCCCTGCCACTGACTTGTTATGCAGCCTCGGAAGCCCCTTTCAGCTCTGAGATTTGTGTGACTCTTGTTAAGTCGTTTCAGTGAGCCACACTTTCCTCATCTCTAAAATGGGCCCAATGATCATTGCACTGTTTCCCTCTCAGGGTTGTTATAGGGATCAAATATGGATGTGCTTCCCCAGCACAAATTATGTTTGTTTGTTGTTTTTTAGGCAATTGGGGTTAAGTGACTTGCCCAGGGTCACACAGTTAGTAAGTGTCAAGTGTTTGGTCTGAGGCCAGATTTGAACTCAGGTCCTCCTGACTTCAGGGCCAGTGCTCTATCCACTGCGCCACCTACCTGCCCCCCCAGCACAAATTATGAATTGGTATTAATAATCACCGCTGTGTGGTCATGAAATCTCTCTGTGGGCCTCGCCCTTCGAGTCTCACCGATCTCCCCGCCTTGCTCTTGGCTTCTGGGATTGAGTAACTGGGGGTATTTGGCTTGTCACACACAGGAGGGGTAAGGCTTGCTCCACTTGGCCCCTCCCAAATTAGGAGGAGTAGGGGGAAGTGGCCAGGAGGAAGTAGATAGAAAAGCCTTCATGACCATAGCTGGACCCTGGGTGGGTGGCTGTGGGCCAGGCTGCCCGGGGGGAAGGTGCTGGGACTCAGACTCAGGCCTTGCTGTCCCCAGGTTCAGCGTTGTTCCCAACATCTCCAGCAGGGGTTTTTCACTAGTCTGGGGACACGGACCCCTCCGGCAAAGCCCATGGGCCCCTTCTCAGAATCACCTTTCTAAATGCACAAGACAGAACACAGAAGATTACAAAGGAAACCAATTATACTGCGCAATGGTTATGAAAATGTAGTTTTTTTTTAAGTTCATGGTCGCCTGCTTAAGAACCTCTGATCTCTGAAAACTTTATCTCTGCGATTGAGATCCATCATCACCCAGGTTCCCGTCCTGGCTCTGTCACTGCCTCATGTAAGCTTGGGTCTTTTCTCCCTTGGCCTCAGTTTCCCCATCCGTAGAATGAGTGATTTGCACTGATTGGTCTTATAGGTCCCTTCTGACTCCGCCTTGCTGGGATGCACCTGAGACCATGTGGGGTGGAAAGACTGGGAGTCTGGGACTTGGGGTCAGTCTTTGGCGCTGCTGCTTACTTAGGTACTCAGCGTGGCTGAGTCTGGGCCTTCTGTGATCTGTGAAATGAGGGGCTTGGAAAACTCTGACAGCTCTTCTAGCTCTCAGCTCTGTACTCTCATACCTCAAGTCCTTGCTGCTTTCCAGTTCTGACCCACCTTCATATCGATGGAGCATAAAATGTACCAGAACCTCTGGCTCAGCCAATCCATGGCGCAGAAACACCTCTAGACACTAGAAGCCACAATAGTATTTGCTCATTTATTTATTCATTTATTTATCCCCTCAAAAAAAAAATCTTTACCAGAAGATTTTTAAAACATTTTTGCAGTGGGCGTCCCAATGTTAAAGGATGACCAGCATTCCTTCTCTGACCCACGAGTGCCAGCAGAGCCAATACCTGAGATGCCCGTTCCTGAGAATGGAAGCACCTTTTACTAGGATGGTTCTTAAGAAAAGCAAAGCCAGAGTTTTTGATTCCCTGGACTGAACCTTTCCAAACCAGCCAACCAGGAAGTTATCCAGCAACAACCGAATATTATTTAAATCACTTCTCTTTTAAAAATATGAACAACAAACCCATGTGAAACCTCAGCAGTGTCCCAGCACTATCTCAAGGTTTACATAGAATAAAGGGTTTCATCAAAAACCATTATTAAAAATTTTTTAAACCAAAACACTAAGCTAACCAGGCAGATTTCCACCTCCAGGGTGGCAGACCAGAGGGTGGGCCAGAGTCCAGCAGTGGCCACCTTCACTCCTCCTTCCCTACGTCAGTTTGGCAAGCCATAATTGACCACCAGTCCAAAGAGGATCAGAAGCAGGGCCACTGGGATCACCTTCCGGCACACAGTGCTGGCTGGTAGCACAGGAACCTGCAACAAAGAAAAGAGGAGCATGAGATGAGTGGTGGCTTGTCAGACGGAGTCGGAAGACAGGACCATCTTGTCTGTCGGACCCATACCCCAACAATAATCCCCTCTGCCTAAACACCTCTATGGATGGGAACCCATCTAGAATGTAAGCCCCTCGAGGGCAGGGACTACGCTTTTGCCTTTCTTTGCTTCTGCTTCTTCATCTGAAAGATGTTTTACAAAGATCTTATTTGATCACCACGACAATCCTAACAGACTGGTGCTCTTATCCCCATTTTAGTTATAGAAAGTGAGGCGGGAAGAGGTGAAGGGATTCGTTCAGGGTCACACAGCTAGTCAGCCCCTGAGGTTGGATTTGAACTCGGATCTTCCTGACTCCAGGCCCAGCACCACCTAGCTGCCTCTTGATTCTTAATTAGACACAAAAATCAGAGGAGGCCTCGGCTCGTTGGAGCAGGCAGTGGAAGGCCTTGCTCCAGGAGGAGAGGACCGGGGCTCCGATCCCAGCTCTTATGCTGTCTCTCAAAGCGTCTCGTCAGCAGATCACTGGCTTCTCAGTCCCTCAGTATCCCCACGTGTTGTATGATAGGGTTGGATTTGATTGGGAAAGTTCCTTCCAGCTCTAAATCCCACGATGAGATCCTGGACAGAGGCCTCAGCTCTCTGGCAGGCAGACACAAACCCACAATGACTCTTCAGCCTCTTCTGGGGAAAAGGTCCCCCTTGGGCTTTATTTTCTCGTTCAGACTCACTGTCCCCCTTTTACAGATGGGAAAACTGAGGCCCCCAAAGGGGAAGTGACTTGCCCAAGGCTGCACAGCTGTGCGACAGTATGAGAGCTGGGATTCAAGCCTGGGCCTTCGGGCTTTCCTTCCCTGTAATGCAGCTGTCCCTGGGGCAGGTTTCTCCTTTTACCAGGTGTGTCTGGAGCCCCCTGGCCACTTCAGAGGGCCTTCTCCCTCCCACTCAGATCAGCCTTCAAGGTGCCCTTGTTGCCAGCGCCCCCAACCCCACAGAGGCAGCCACGGCCAGACTCACCCAGTTTGCCCAGGCCGCGAGTCTCCGCATCCAGCTGCTGCCCACGGGCTCAGTAAAACATTTCACAAAACTTCTAAAAA